TGGATCGCAACCCTCAGTGTCGCGCCCGTACCGGGCCGGGACCGGCAACGGGATCGCAACCCTCGGTGCTGCGCCCGCACCTCGCTCAGCCAGTGAGCGGCCGGTCTGTATGTGGGATCCGAACCCTCGGCAGGAGCGCCGCCGCAATCCCAAGCGGCGCACTGTAGCAGTGCGCCACCGGGCCGGCCCCTGTTTATTAAAATTTTTTAAAAGTTTGTTTTTATATGGTCATAACAAAGAATTTTTTTTTTATTATTATTGCAAAAGAAACTTGCATCAATTTATTCTAGTGAAATTCATTACCATGACTCTCCCTCTCTCTTGGTCCACTAGTATTTGTGGTCCCTTCTATGGGACCAATAGAGAGGAACATTATGTACGCAGGGCTGGGAGAAGATGGCAGGAGGCAATAGAGCTGTGCCATGTGTGCACACTTGTTGTATAATAAAGAATTTTAATGATGGAGAAAATAAACAGAATTGAATGTTAGTCCAAATCCCACTGCCCAGGTGATGTTAGGTGAACAAAGGGCCCTTATGTATACATACAAATAGGAGATTAGATAGATAGGTACACAGATACATAGATAGACAGAACAGGTTCATTGCCCTTAGCATTTCAGTTAGTAAAAAAAAAAAAAGAAAAGAAAAAGAAAAAAGGAGAACAAGTTCACAATTCTCTTACTGAATGTCTTGAGGCTAGATGTCTTGGAATTTGGAATTTTTTTATATTTTGAAAAAATATATGTGCTGATGTGCTGTATATCTTATAACATCTCACAGCAGGGTCTAGGGCAGTACTTGATGACCAAATATATTTACATTTGTGCATGTGAATATTCACACTAAGAGATGTTTAAAAGACTACAAATAGCCTGACTTACATTCAGGACAGATTTTGCTGCCAAGTGACTTTTTTAGATCTTTGTTGATATAGTGGTGAGAAAAAAAAGAGAAAAATACCTTTTTAGATTTCAGAATTGCAGGTAAGGAATTGTGGACCTGTGCTTTCATAATATAGGATCATATAATAACATGTTGTTTTTTAGACAAAACTAATCAATTTAATTGTACCTGTAATTGACTGAAAAAGAAAATGAAGTGAAACCAAAAGAACTACTGAACTTCACATAAATGCTTCTTTATCACAATTTTATTTTCCAAAAGGTCTAAGGTTAAAAAAAGAGAGTAAGAAAAATATTAAGATTGGAGTTATGTTGAAACCATCTCTGATACAGATCTCTCCAACATGTTCTCAGAATTATTAGGCTCAAGGCCTTCCAAATATTTTGTAATATTCCCTTTAGTACTCTGAAGTTGTTAAATAATATAATCTACTTACGCAGATAATGAAAAAAACCAATATAATGCCTAATATACAGGAAAAAAATTATTTGTTATGAAATACAGTAATAGGTATTTCAATATTGAAATCCTTGGGCATTACCACTAAAGACATAATGAAGTAATAAGATGCTTACATCTGTATGTAATAAACACTTTCTTTATCCAATCATCCGTTGACAGACATTTAGGTTAGTTCCGTATCTTGGCTATTGTGACTAGAGCTGCGATAAACATGGGAGTGCAGGTATACCCTGGACATGTAGATTTCCTTCGTTCCTGTTTTTAAATCTCATAAACTAATTGCGTCAGATGAAACCAAAATTCCCAAAGGCAGCGATTCTAAGCCGAAGTCTTCCTCCTCCAAGACCGAAAAACTTTTTTCTGGAGCAGGAGCACATGCTCCGGCGTTCCGCAGCCAGCGGCCCGAGACCCCGCCCCTATGCGCTCCACGCCCTTCCTTCCGGTTCACTCCGCCTCCCGGGCGGAAGTGCGACGCCGAGCGGAAGTGACGGAAGGCGGCCGCCGGAGGTGTCGCTAGTGTGTTTCGCTACTGGGCCTGAGAGTGGAGAGGGGCCTGAGAGTGGAGAGAGGCCTGCGCCCGGGAAGATATCGCTATGTCGATCGAAATCGAGTCTTCGGAGTGAGTCCTGCCGTGGCGGGGGCCGGGAGGTTAAGGGTGTGGGGTGGACGGTACTCAGAGGGAGGCGTCCGAGGGGCTAGGCGGTGGAGGGCCGTTTCCTTGCTCACAAAGAAGCTTCTTGGATCTGGCTGTCTCCGAGGCGGGCCCACTAGAAAGTAGCAGCTCTTGGAGGTAAAGCCCAGATCCCCGCGGGAGGCGGCGCGGGGCTGGAGGAAAGACGTACCTGGCAGAGCCGACTCCTGGCGCGCTCTGTAACTGAGCAAATTACCGATCCGCTCTATTCTCCAGTCTAATTATCTGCACAAGGGGGTTGTATTTTCTAAGCCTTGCTTCTTTTCCTCCCTAACCCACTCTTTAAGCAGCATGATTCTTTTCTTCTGTGCTCACACGGTCCCTTTGCTTTTCTCTGCTCAGCACTTATCACACAGCCTACTAGCCTGTGGCGGCGCCTAGGGACTCCTTTTCCTTACAGTCCCAGCATCCAGCACACCACAGATGCTCAGTTACTGCTTTTGGAATGAACGAACGACTAGCTATTTTATCAGGCCCGATCTGGCGCTGAATTTGGTTTGTCTGTGAGCTCTGTGTAGCCACAAAAGGGAGACAGAATCTAGAGATTGGGCCAGAAGAATGATAGTTTATGGGGGTAGGGGGTGGGCAGGGAACGAATGAGTGACTAAAGGTGGTCTTTAGTGGACTTTTCCAGGACTCCACCCCCCCGGCTGTGTTTTCCAACACTTAAGTTAGCAGACAGTATTTGTGTTCTGAGTGTAAGGGAGGGAGAGGAACTGTCCTGAAGACCTGCCATAGGAGAAAAGTAGGTTTATTCAACAGATATTGAAGTCTACAATGCGCTGTTCTAGACTCTGGAAATACAGTAGTGAACAAAACAGACAGAAATCCCTGCCTTGGTAGAATGTACGTTGTGATTGGGGAAGGCAAACAATAGACAAAAACAATAGTAAAATATGAAGTGTAACAGATGGTGATAAATGTTGTGGAGAAAAATGAAGCAAAGATAGATGATAGAGAGTGCAGGAGATAAAGATAACTAAGTCGGGCAGGAGTTGGAAAGGATTCTGTACTTTGAAGTCTGAATGAGAATGTAATGACCATTCTCCCAGCTTTGAAGACCCTAGCTGTAGCAGCAGTGGCTGCCGCATGTTTTTATTATCAGTAAAGACTACTATTTACTAAGTACTTTCTATGCTAAGCATGCTATAAGTGTCACAGTCAAACCTTTTACCAACCCTGTAGAGTAGGTATTTTTCTTAAAAGATGAAGAGAAACAGCCATAGAGATGTTAATGGACTTGCCCAAGGTCACAGTTAGTAATTTGAATTCTGATTCAAATCCCAGCCTATCTCCAAAGCTATTAGCTGTTTGTGTATTATATTGTGTTTGAAGGTAGTGAATTTGATTTTGGCTGTGCCAAATAGGAGGTCTTCGGAGGAGAGGTGTATTAGTCCATTTTTGTTGCTTATAATGTAATACCTGAAACTGGCAAAATTTGTAAAGAAATGAAATTTATTTCTTACAGTTTCAGGGCTGGGAAGTCCAAAGTCCAGGGAACACATCTGGTGAGGGCCTTCTTTTGCAGCAATGCAGAGTGTAACATGGTGAGAAATGGTATGAGCAAGGGAGAGAGCTAACCTGCTCACTTGCTCCCCTTTTAATTAATTAATACATTACTCTATGAATGTATTAATCCACTCACAAACCTAATTACCTCTTACAGGCCCCGTCTTTCAATTATCACAATAAAATTTCCCACCTTCTTAACACTATTATAGTGGGGGTTAAGTTTTAATGAGTTTTGGGAGGTCAGTCAATCTACAGCAGAAGGGGCATCTCATTGTGGGAGAGAAATGAAAGTCAATAGAAGTGTTGAGGAAGTTAGTACTGTACTAGAATAGCAGGGGTTTAAGCCTGGGTACCTCGTAAAGAGGCCATGAGAGAAAAAGATGACTGCAAGTAGCAGTAATCAGTTCCCTTTTGCAGACTTTTTTTTTTTTTTTTTTTTTTTGGCAACTGGCTGGTAACAGGAATCAAACCCTTGTCCTGGTGTTGTCAGTACCATGCTGTAACAATTGAGCTAACCAGCCAGCCCTTGCAGACATTTTTAAGAAGAGAGTGTTTGCTTTTCTGTCAGGGATGTACTCTCAAGAGCTACAGTGGCTGTTTAAATCCTGTTTTCCACTTATTATCTCTGTTATTTGTTTAAATCCTCATCTGTAAATTGGAGATAATAGTAATACCTCATAGGGTTGTTTTGAGGAATAAATGAATCATTTTGTCTAAAAATGCTTAGAGCAGTACCTAGTATATAGTAAACACATAGTAAGTGTTGGTTATTATTTTATGATTATTATTTATTCCATGGGAAAGGGAATTGTGTGAATTCCATTCTGAAGTCCCTTACAGCCAGGATAGTCTGACTCTCTATACTAGTGCTGTCCAATAGAAATACAGTGCGAGCCACATATATACTTTATTTTTTGGTTTGTTTTATTGCTGGCTGGCAGGTACGGAGATCTGGAGATCTGAACCCTTGACCATGGTGTAAGCCACATATATACTTTAAATGAAGAGAAGGAAAAAGTGTATCACAGCAACGTCCAGTGAATTTGTGCAGTCTGTATGGACAGATTCATCATTAGACTTCATTATTAAGCCCAAGATCAAGAAGTTTTAACTATAAATAACTATATATATTTAATTATTATTATTTTTTTATAAGAATACAAATACACTTTATTTTTCATTAGTTTAAATCCTTGAGGGGTATAGCATCACAGAGATCCTGTCCAGTTGCCTTAGCAGGAAAGTTGCTTTGGAATTTGGCATGAACCAATGCACTATTTCCATGGGCACAAGTTATCCTTCCCCAGATTACTCTAGGTTTATTTGGTTTGCCACCAGGAGTCACTATGTTGTTCTTTGCTTCGTACACATAAGCACATCTCTTGCCCAAGTAAAATTCAGTTTCTCTCGGTCATAAACACCTTCAATTTTATGAAGAGCTGTGTGCTCTCTTGTTGCGGAGACCCTGCTTATGGCCAGCAAAAATGGCCTTGGACCACAGCCTTTCAGACATATTGCCTTTTAGAAGTCCTGTTCCTATCAGGCCTCCACAGGCTCCAAAATGGCAGAAAGAGGTATATTTACTTATAAATAACTATAAAAAACTTATAAGTAAGTTTTCTGTCACAAGTTAAAAATGGTTACTTATTCTCAATCTTTGGAAATTGTCTGGGTTCTCTTTTCCTTGGGAAACTGAATTCACAATGTTTTTATTTCACTTATCCTGAAAATTTGGTAATAAAGGCAGTGGGTGTGTGTTATTTTTGCAAATGAGGCATAGTTTTGTTTTGCTTTTACATACAGTACAGCTCTACTTATTTGTGTTCAACAAATCCCTATTAAACGAGTGTCAATTTGTATTTTTTGTTTGTCATTTAAAAATGGACCAATCATTCCACAGTCATTTAGATTTCATATCAATGACTTGAGTAGTTTAAAATATTTCACATTAAACGAGTGTCAATTTGTATTTTTTGTTTGTCATTTAAAAATGGACCAATCATTCCACAATCATTTAGATTTCATATCAATGACTTGAGTAGTTTAAAATATTTCACTAAAGTGTGCAACAATATAATCATAAAAATTAATAAGAAATTGGGCTCTGGTCTAGAAAATAAGAGAGTCACCTTGGTACCAAGTCCCTTTCTAGCTAATTGTGAGACATTGGGCAAATGATTTCCCTTCTCTAAACCCCAGTCTGTCTCTGAGATAGGTGGGAGTCCCTTGAAAGTTTGATTCTGTGATTATTGGAAAGTTTTGCTCACATGATAAAGAAATGGAAAGTAGGTAGTGAAAGGAGGATGATTGAGTATGAGAAATAAGCTGGGGTGGCCTTTATTTTGTGCCCTCTGGTGAGTTAGTAACCCTGAGCTGAATAACTTGCTTTCTTTCAGTGTGATCCGCCTCATCATGCAGTACCTGAAGGAGAACAGTTTACATCGGGCATTAGCCACCTTACAGGAGGAGACTACTGTGTCTCTGAATACCGTGGACAGCATTGAGAGTTTTGTGGCTGACATTAATAGTGGCCATTGGGATACTGTTTTACAGGCTATACAGTCTCTGAAATTGCCAGACAAAACCCTCATTGACCTCTATGAACAGGTAAGAGTGGTGGTGATGGTGATCCCTGTGGATTGGTTTATTGATGACCCCTGACTGGGAAGCATCAGAGAGCATTCATTGAAGCACTGTAGGGCTGCAACAGCCCTTAAAACCTTTTCTCTCCTTGGAAAAGCCAAGATTTTCCCAAATTTAAATTATTTTAAGTTCTCATTAAATGAACCATTCTGACATTAACTGTTTCAATACCTGTTGGTGTACTGCAATTCTGTTCTGGCACTAACCACCTGGAGTTAGCACAGACACTACAAGTTAAAGGCTCAGTCCTCCACCAGACGGTACTTCACATACCAGCCTTACTTTTGGAGGTCTCCAGGCCACCTACAATTTTGACCAATGGGCTACAAATTTTGGGGTTCCCATGACTCACTCAGGTTTGATAATTTGTTAGAATGACTCTCAGTACTCAGGAAAGTGCTATAGTTACGATTACAGTTTTATTATAAAGGATACAGAGTAGGAGTAGCCAAATGAAGAGACACACAGGGCAAGGTCCTAGAGGTCCTGAATGCAAAGCTTCCATGCTCTCCCTATGGAATCAGGGTGTGCTACCTACCTGGCACATCAGGTGTTCCCCAGCCAGGAAATGCCATTGAGGATTTTATTAGGGTTTCATTACTAAGGCATGATTGATAATTCAATCTCTAAACCCCCTCTACCCCCACCCTTACTTCCGCCTCCTTGGAGGTCAGGTTGGCTCAAAGCCTCAACCTTCTAATCACATGGTTGATCTCTCTGGTATCCAGCTCCTATTCTGAACCATCTCCTTGGCACAAACTCAGGTGTGATTAAAGAGGCTCATGAATAACAAAGATACTTTTATCACTGGTGGAATTCCAAGGGTTTTAGAAGCTGTGAGCCAGGAACCTGGGACAAAGATGAGACAGATTATTATAAAACAGAACAAGGTGGACTTCCTGGAAATAACATTGTAGTGTTGTTTGAAGTAAAAATAGGGACGTTGGTTTGTTTTTTTACAATCCACATGAGTTCAGTATTTCCCCGAAGGAAATTTAGGTAACTGGAGAAAGGTTTCTCTGGAGCCCATGATGGTAATCCCATCTTTAGTTTTCTCCAGCATCTACATTCTGAACAAGAGGCCTCTTGAGGAGGAGAGGTTGGTAGATAAAAATGAAGGATGGAGTTTGAAGGATTGAAGTTATTTATAATTACTTCAGTTGTCCACCTAAAATTCCTAGTAAAAAGAAAAATTTCCACTATTGGAAATCACTTTGGCAGACCGTGATTGTGTCAAATTCTACCGAAAAAGAAATATTAATAAAAGAATGCATTAAAACATCCATTTTCTTTCCATCGTTCAGGTTGTTCTGGAATTGATAGAGCTCCGTGAGTTGGGTGCTGCCAGGTCACTTCTGAGACAGACTGACCCCATGATCATGTTAAAACAAACGCAGCCAGAGCGGTATATTCATCTGGAGAACCTCTTGGCCAGGTCTTATTTTGATCCTCGTGAGGTATGACTGCGGAATGAAAAGAAACTTACGTTAACTTTGAAAATATGCAATAATGTGACCTGTTTTACCATTTTATTGGATACTTTGTGATTTTGATTTAATTTTTGAGAATGATGCTTTTCTATTTATGTTGGCTAAACTTTGCATATGTTAAACAGGATAATTGTGTTCAGTTTTCTGAACGTTTGAGGGTCATCTTTCTTATGCATACCCCATTTTAGAGGATTGTGTGTTGGTTAGTAAAACAGAAAATTTTATTCTGATATTATTTCCACATTAGCCCAAGTACTATCTGGCCCTGGAATGCTGCCCAGCTGCTGGTGTGTTCACTGAGCATTGTATCCCTTGCCCCTGACAATTGCAGTTTCCTTCCAGCCGTTTTAGTCCCTGGAAGCTTGTGCTTTTCCTTCTCAGCTGATTATGCTTACTAGTAGAACACAGTGACTGATATTCTTTTATTCTTCTTAAGCCTTATTATATGTATAGTTTCATTCTTTCCCACCCAGCCTTTTGCTTGAGGCTTGTCAAAATAGGATGAAGAATTTAATAGGCACTGAATAATAGAAAGTTAAAGTAAATTTACAGAAACCATGAGGATAAAGGAAAGGAGTTTGGATTACCAGGATAGGATTTAAGTTAGAGGTGGTGAAGGACGACTAAGTTGGGAATCACTGGGCTGAAAGAAATTACCAAAGAATATAAAAGAATCCTTCGGTTTGCAGATTTTTCAGAAACTGGGGAAACGACTCTGGCTTTGATATGGTTTATTTGGACTCTTAGAAATAGCAGTGTGGGGCCGGCCCGGTGGCGCACTGGATAGTGCGCCGCTTGGGAAGCGCGGCGGCGCTCCCGCCTGAGGGTTCGGATCCCACATACAGACCGGTTCCTGCTCACTGGCTGAGCGAGGCGCGGGAGCAGCGCCGAGGGTTGCAATCCCGTTGCCGGTCCCCGGTCCGGTACGGGGGCAACACTGAGGGTTG